GGTCAGCGGCCGTTTTTCCGCCCCTGACGCGTGGTCCGCGGACGCCAGCATGGATTTACGGTAATTACATTGTACCTTATGGGAAAATTTACTTCGACTTGTGACCAACTCGACTTGCGATCAGAGTCATGGAATGGATTAAGTTTGTAAGTAGAGGTACCACTGTAGCTGTAACAATATCACTTTTTAAAACACCTTTTTTAAAAAAGTATTTCACTCTCTGTTCCGAAAGAAATTATACAAATTTTGTATTCTTACATATGTTTAGAAATTTTACTGGAATAATAATAATAATACCTATTCCAAGCTTATTCTCAGAACAAACATTGTTCTGAGATTTTCTGGATTTCTTTTCTCAGGCCATTATAGAATTTCTATCTTCCTAATCCATTAGGATTTCTGGAGTTCATTTTTAAAGTTTAAAAATAGTCCCTCTTGGGTTTGTGATAGATATCAAGAATGTAACTATGTCAGCTTCATCTCATGTTACTTAACTAATATTTTTTATTAAATTAGGTTATTTTATTTTGGTTGTTTTTTTCTTGCAGAGTTACCTCCTAGATACTTGTGTAGTTGAACTGTGAAGGAGGAGAGTCTCCAACTTTTCTTGATCAGTAGGCACAGTTGGAAGTTGGGGGAAGTGTCATAAATGCTGCTATGGAATGGTTCCCATGGCTGGAACAGTCCATTCACAAAATGGCTGCCATGATAGACTTATCTACATTTTTTTCTGAATAACTTGGAGCATAGTAAAATAAAGCACTAACCTCTGGTTGCCTTTTATAGTTCACTTTGAAATATCTGAGGCCCAGAATATGGCCTGTTGCTGGAGGCCAGAATTTCAGTTTGAAGTGCTCCAGGTCAAGTGAATACATAAAATTAAACAAAAAAAGTGTTTTTAATATTACTGTTATTAGCAAGCCGTTAGCAAGCCATTTTGTGGATGTTGGCAGAGTGCTGCTATTTGCCACTCCCTTGGCAATGTTCTCTTATTCAGTGTAGCCATCCATTCTTACCCCTAGTTTTGCTACTGCCTTTTTCCTACTACCACCGCCATCATTACTGTGTTTCCCCACTTCTTTAATTAGGAGGGTATTTTGAATAATATCCAATTTATTGTTTTTTGGCCTATAGAAAAGCTGCCCGTCAAAGATAATTGGTTATGGAAAAATACGATGAATTACTAATCACACTGTACCATAATTAGTCAGTTTTAAGAGAATAGAAATTAAGTTGTGTAACTGCTGTTATATATTTCAAATGTCAATAAGTCATATAAAATCCACTTTTTTCTTGCAGAAAAGATGAAAAGGAATATGCACTGAAACAGATTGAAGGCACAGGGATATCCATGTCGGCATGTAGAGAAATAGCAGTAAGTGAACACAACAAAAATATTTAACTCTTTCTACAATTAACAGCATGGAGAGAATCCAACTAGTTTCCATTGGGGAAGGCTGTAGTGCAGTGACAAATCATCCTGCTTTCTGTGCAGAAAGCCCCATCTGAAATCCTTGGCATTTAATCCGAGACATTACTAGGCTTGTTGGAACAATAATTCAAATTCATATGTAAGGCAGCTTCCTGTGTTCCTGTTTCAGCAGGGAAGGGGAGACTTAGTTTCTTCACTGTAAGCTATGATATATAGTTCAGTGCTGCTCTGGACTAGCTAGGAAAGTGCAGAGTGGATGGGGTCAGATTGGAAGGGGAAGGAGAATGGCTAAAAATCAAGCCCATCCCTTTTCAGCCAGCAGAAGCCTTGCACTTGCAGAGGGAAACTAGCTGAATTTTGCCATGTCAGTTTTTAATTGTTATATTAAATGTCAACTTTAATTTAATCTTCATAATTTTGAACATACCTGTCGTTCAAATGCCGTATTTGACATCTATAAATAAATAGTATGGTATCTTTTAAATTCAAATTTAAAAGATACCATACATAAATTCACATTTATTGAATTACAGTAATTCACAAGATACTTAGATGCTTAAAGATAATTAGATTAATTTTCTAATTTTAAATATTAATAGAAAATACTATTAATTTTCTAATTACTATACTAATTTACTAGTTATCTAATTTCTAGGAGGTTGTACCTCATCCTGTTATATTTCAGAAAAGTGAAGTATAGAATATTAAACTAAAATAAGTACATTAAAATAAAATAAGGATATGGTTTAGATAGTAGAGATTCTACTTTCCAGAAAAGCTTACAAGATGCTTTCCACTTACTTAATAACTGAACAATATAATTAACTTCAAAAAACCCTCAGTTTAATGGAGTATGTAAAAGTCTGTTAAATCAGTAAATGATGTAATTTACATAATTTGCATCAATTTATACTATTTGTATAATGATGTCATTGCACAAATGATATAAATTGACAAATGATAGAATGTACATAAATTGTCTGGACTACTTTGAATACAAACTGACATTGCCTGTTATTTTGGGAAGATGTCTGGAAGTAAATTTTATCTGTTGAATCAGAAGTCCTCTAACCGAAGGGTTTACTGTTTATGTGCACCACTTTATTTGCACCACTTGCTTATTTGCAGTTGAATGCATTAGCATGTAGTGCATTTAAAGGGGTCCAAGAAAATGCTCTGTAATATTAAGACTGTGACAAATATATTTATTTCTGACATGACAATTCTGTTAGTCTGTTGCAGCAATCCAGCAAATAGAATAGACAGTGAAACCTTGTACATCTTTAAAGATTAATTTTTATTATTGCATCAGCATTTGTGGACTTAAGTTCATGTCAGCAAAATTCCTACTACATAGGAATTAACAAATAACTTTATCCAGCATGTATAGATTTGTGGGGATAATTGGAGGAGCTTTTATTGCAGTCTTTCCCACCCTAATGTTCTCCAGATATGTTGGGAGTTGTAGTTGGGAAGGTACAGGTTGGAAAAGCCATTACACAGCAGAACTATTGGTTGCTGTTTCAGGACCGTTTGACTGTTTGATCAGGAAATATGGACTTTATGGAGATATCTTTTTAAGAAGTAGGAAAGATTCTATAATTTTTGAATCAATGTATAAAGTGTGTACCACTCCCTATCTTGGAGCTGGGGGTATTGAAATCATCACTAAAATTTAAGATATTAAACAAGATGTGCTGCTTGTTGATTTATGATTAATGCTCATTTGTATTTAATAAAAAAAATTAAAAATTAAAATGAATGAATGCAATTTATTAAGTAAAATAAATCCCTATTTCAGGTCAGTGTTCCCAGTAAATAGGAAATGCTGTCTTGTAATTCAGTCTTCTCTATGTGTGTTGGAGTTGAACTCCCCAAGCATATCTAGAAGGCATCAGGTTGGGAAAAGCTGCAGAAGCTAAATGTGCTATTGGTGCAAGTCACTTAAAATCCTTTCAGGACTTCATGTCTTAGATATATATCTTGCTTTTAATCACCTTTGCATTTATATCTCAAAGCAATAACATTTTCTATAAATTTCTTAGGTGTAGCAGGAAAAGCTAAAAGACATTTTCATAACTCTCCATTACATCAGCATGGTCGTCTGTCTATCTTATCCCATCTACCTATCTACCTATCATATATGGATGCCCATTCACTAAGTGATGCTGGCAGCTAACAAATTACAAACATTAAAAAAAGCTGCAAATACATATAGCACTGGGCACAATAACTCACTTAACCCAACTAACATGTACTAACATGTATTGGTGACTCATTTAACAGCCTCAGTGCTTCAGAAAAGAGCCAGATCTTCAGAGACCTTATAAAGGCCAGCAGGGTTGTGACCATCTAAATCTCAAGGGGGATGCTATTCTATAGGGTGATACATGGGCACACTGAAATACAGTATATTCATAACTACTCATGCTGCTGTTTTCTGGACTTTCAGACTTGCAAGATTGATGTCAGCCTTCCCAGGTAGACAAGACAGGAAACACGACCAGATGAGCTAATTCTACTTTATTGTAAGGCTACATGAACAGAATCTTGCAAGTCTGAAAGTTCAGATCTCCCACTGTCTCTTTTTACAGCCTGATAAATTAGGGAGGATCCTTTCTGAGGATCTAGATCCTTCTAAGGCCTTAGTTAAACTGTGCACCACAGCATCAGGGATTTCCCCAAGCTGTCTCTGAAACCCAATTGTCTCTATCAGGCATTTGGACCAGACCACATGAATAGGTCCAGTGCAGTTTGGAGTAGTGCTGGAGAACTCTAAAGCAATCAGAAAGTGATCTGATCATGACAAGGGACTGATGTTAACATCCTCAAAATCAGATCACTTTGCCATTGCCCCAAGACAAAAGCCAGATCTAGTGTGTTATCCTCAAAGTGTATCAGGCCCTTGATCTGGGTTAGGTCTCTAGTTGCCATGAAGGACATGATGACCATGAAGTCCTGAGCCAGTTGAGGCTCCATACCCGGGGAAAGCAGGTTGAAGGCTCCCAGTACTTTAAGTTTGGGAAGCTCCACCACCAACCCTGCTACAGCATCTAGCAGCTCACCAGGACCAGAGGGCTGGTACAGCAGCATTCTTCTATCAAATCCCTAGAGGCCAGCTTCACAAACAGGATTCACATCCAGCTACCTGCAGAGCAGCCCCTCTGAAAGTCACAAGGGTAACCGTGATAACCATAGCCACTCTAGCATCCCTACTTTAGGTTCACAGCTGGTGCCACACTCAAAACATAGATGGGCACATCTCCAAAAGGCCACACATCCCTCGGTGTCTCCCTGGGTTCTGGTTATACATGCCAGATCAGCCCTGCCATCTGTGATCCTGGTTGAGGAGAAACTTATTACACACTAATCTGTAGAGCACTAGTGTAGTGGTTAAGATGCTGGCCTAGAAACCAAGAGACTGCAAGTTCTAGGTCTCCCTTAGGCATGAAAGCTGTCTGGGTGACTTAGGACCAGTCACTCTCTCTCAGTCCAGCCCACCTCACAAAGTTGTTGTTGTGGGGAAAATAGGCAGGAGTATTAGGTATGTTCACCACCTTGAGTTGACCAAATATATATAAAAAAGGTGGGATAAAAATATAACAAAAACAACCTAGCGTTAAGCTGCATCAACAACAGCTGGAAGCCAGGACCACCAAGGATCATCCAGGCTCTGGGGCTGAGTCTAGGGGGCTGGAGTATGGAATCAGTACCAAACACCAAATATATCTTCCCCATTAGTGGCCTGCCACCATCTCCTGCCATATTTCCTTCTGCCCACCAATATCAAAATGTTCCTCCCTGCTCCCTTCCCCTCCATTAGACCAACTTCCCTTGCTCCCTGCCTTCCCTCCTCCAGGGCTCCAGGGCCCATCCAGCATCCTGATATTATGCCCTAACCAATCAGCAATTATTGCATATTCTCCAAGTTCAAGTTTCCAATCTGATATCTTTGGTAACCTATCTCTTTTCCAATATTGTGCTAAATTTATCCTTGTGCCCTTAAACATGCAAAACTATTTTGATATTTTTTGTTGGTATATTTTGGAATTATGCCTAGTAAAAAGAATTGTGATTTTATTTTTAAAATTCTCTGAATAGTGCTGTGTATTTCTTTCTAATACTTTTGAGTTCTTCCCATTGATGTGTTGCAGCTGTTTCTTCAAAGTTTTGCATCCATTTTATCATGCAATTTTTTATTTGTTTCTGTCTCCATGTCATATCTGAGTAAGAATTTATATATGTACCCTACCAGGTGGCCTTGATGTTTTCTGAGCATTTCAAATTCTGTCATTTTTCATAGCAGCCCTCCCTTATTTTTGAGGTCAGTTTTTATTCTTCCAGCAATTTGTAAGTACATCAACCATGGTATGTTCTGGCCTTTGCCAAGTAGTTCTTGATATCTCTTTAGTCTGTTCATGGAGTTTAAATAGACCATATCTCCATATGTAATTGAAATTTTCTTACTATGCTTATCTCTGACATGAAAAACATTTAAAGGAGAATAATGGTGAGATCGTTGGACTTAGTATTTTTCTCATAATGTCCCATACTTTTATCAAACTGTTTGTTATAATATGTCTTAGGTATGATTTGAGATAGGCAAATTTAAAAGTTCCTTAATTATGGCAGAAATAGTTTTCAAAAATGGAAAATTTTTGAAAACAGCATGGTTGTTTACATTAGCTGACATTTTAGTGTGCCTTTCAGATTATAGAACAGGGTTTTATCAGATTTTCACAATCAGTGGATAGATCATCTGGAAACACATGACTATCATGATGTTAATATCTGATCTGAAGAACCCTAATTTCCATATTAAGGCTTTATTGCCAATTACCCAATATAACATATAAATAAGCAATTCCTACATAATAAACATTATAAAAAAGTGAAGTTTATACAGAATAATATTTCCAGTGCACATATGGATTACGAAGATG